TACTAATTTGTTTTTATTTTATTAGTTACTTAAAATATATTAAACACTTGAGTCTGTTCTATGTCCGCGGTAATCTTCTACCTCTAGTAGACTAGTAGTCTACTAGAGGTCTGACATTCCATAACAGTTCTTATAGTTCTTATTAGCTTGTACAGCAATATGTTGCAGTGTCACATTACATCTGACCACTTAATCCTAAGTTTTTAAATAAAGCTTTAAACTTAGTTTATAAAGCATGGCATTTAGGACTATTACTTCATAGAATAAAAAATGAGAATGATATTGCATTTATTATTTGTAGTTGCTTTGGGAGAGAGTTCTATGATAACATATGGCCGCACCCACCCCAAGCAACAAAGAATTTTGGCAGCCGTTGTGAAACATCTAGTAGTTAGTGCATCACTACCCGTGTCTATAGTAGAAAGCGAACATTTTAGGTGATACAATAACGTTCTTGATTCTCAGTACTCAACTAGAAACCGTTTTGCTGTAAAAATCTATTTAGAGAAAATGTATACGAATGCAAAGGAAAAATTAACTGAAAATTTATGTCAAGCTGCAACCATTACCCTAACACTTGATATTTGGTCAGATAGAATAAATGAGGGGTTGCCTTGGTGTAACAGTGCATTACACACATAAATATCACTGTCACACATGACTGTTGGTATGCATTGGTTCTTAGGTGCTCATACTGGAGATAACATAGCAGAAAATTTTGAATCCATTTGTAAAACATAAAAAATTCTTGACAAAGTTGTGTATGTTGACAAATGACTCAAACGTGTGCAAAGCATTTACTACAAAATTTCCAGAAGACCCCGGAGGTGGTGGTGATACATCTGCATAGGAACTTTATGAGGACGTAGAAAATGAAGACCTGTGGGAAGACATTAATGCACCGGACAAAATAATCCAAAATATCAACCAGCTTAACCCAAGAAGAGAGGTTACAAGACTAAGTTGTTTTACTCACACCTTACAATTAGTTGTTGGCGATGGTCTCAAAGAGACAAGAATTTACTCCGCTCAAGCTAAAGCATCCAAAATATGCACTTTGCTTCATACTAGTACAACATTTAAAGAGGCTTTTAATAAAAAATTTGGCTCCAAACAGGGTATTCCTCGAATAAACGCAACAAGATGGAATTCCATATTCCGTCACATAAAAAGCATTGTCACTTTAGATGAAAAGAAATTGAAAAACCTACTTGATGATTTCAGTTACCGCAATCTAATTCTAAATGAAAGAGAATACTTAGAGAGCTCGTTGATTTATTGCAACCATTTCTTGAAGCTACTGATATTACTCAAGGTGAAAAAAGTATAACAATTTTATTAGTAGTTCCCTTAATTGTTGGGCTATATAGTCACTTAGAATAATTTAATACAACTTATCTGTCCGGTATGAAGCAGGTATTGCAAAGCAGTCTTCAAAAAAGATAATAGATAGATACTAATAATAGATAATATATAAAGATAAGATACTACCATTTAATGACTTGATATATGTTATTGCCACAGTTTTGGATCCCAATTTTTCTTTCTTTTGGGCTGAGAAGCTATGTCATGTCAGGCGAAACAGACAAATTAAAGACAAATATTCTTTCAAAACTTCATGGGCAAAAATTACCAATTTTTCAAAGTTCTGCCATGTATGCTTTTGTGGTACCTGCAAGCAGTGCTCCTGTTGAATGGGTATTTATTCAGGGTAGCCTGATTATGAACCCTAAGCGTGCAAGTTTAAATTCTGCCACTGTTTGTCAGTTTTTTTAAATGTAACACGGATATATTACTATAATTTTTTTATGAAAATTAGCATTTGTAATCTTTTTTTCAAAAGAATGATAGAATATAAACATTAGTAAATAGGCTAAATAGCTTATGAAGTATTAGTAAATAGGCTAAATAGCTTATGCCATTGTATTGTGTACATGAATTTATGAAGTTATGAAGTTTAGAAATTATGAAGTGTTATGTGACCGTATTGTGTATTATGACTTCTTAACTATTATATTACAGATAGTTTATTTTACTTTAGTAAAGCTACTTTAGTAAATAAAGTAAAATTATAATTATTATCATGCTGTATTTTATAATTGTAAGTTGACTGTTTGAATGTAGCTACCAGAGCCATGGCAAGGTTCCCCCATGCCCTTTTTGTAAGAGGAATTTCGTGGTTTTTATGACAGGTTTTGGAAGAGGCCTCCCTACTCCTAGCCACGTCACTCATAGCCAACACATGCACAGGAATCTTTTATTATAATATGACTTGACTTGAAACTTGATTTGACATGTCACTATATGACTTGAGACTTTTTTATTTTAGACATGAGATTTTTTATTTAGATTTAGAGACAGTTTTATTTTAGATATGTGGACAATGGTTTCAACATATGGCCAAAACATTTAAATATAAATAAATTCAAAACATTACTTGCAGAGTTAAGTGATTCAATCAGCTTTAAAATAGACTATGACATCGAACTTATTGAAAAAGAAAATCTCTTAAATATAATTTATTTTCTAGATATATCTGTTATTCTTAAAAACAACAAATATATCACAACCAATATACTATAAAGAAACAAACACCCATGACTACCTAAATTACAACAGCCATCACCTTGATCACATTAAAGAGAACATTACAAACAATCTTGTAAAAGGAACAATTATTTTTACATCTGATTATGCCACTAAAAAGCTACATTTACATTAACTAAAAATATGGCTGAAAGAATGTAATTGCCTCAAAAAATTAACAGAAAAAGTTTTTTACAATGCAAAACTACATGAGCCAGTATATCAAAAAAAACCTAAAGAAATTTTTCTTTTAGTTACAACATTTTATAGCAACCCTAAACTGCCAATCTATTTTAAATAAAACTAACCTTTTATTCAGTCTAATAAGAGAGTAAAAAAAGTTTTTTTAAATATACATCCAGTAATAGCTTAAAAACAACCAGCAAATTTATTAAGACAACTTCTTAAAGACAACTTCTGCCAAATTTCTGCATCATTGTTATAAAAAACAGGATTATTTAGATGTAAGGCTATTTAATGCAAAACTTGCACGTTATATTTACAAAAAGTAGAAAACTTTGTAACATCTAATGATCATAATTGGAAGATAAAAAGCCATATTACCTGTAATAGCAAAAATGCAATCTATTATCTAAAGTATTTAGCATGTAATGGTCAATCTAAATACACAGGGAAAACAAACTGTTTAAAAAATTGGTCAAATGGCCATATCTCCAGTTGCAGAACTGGCCAATCAACTGACAGATTCAACATCCATGTTTTTGATTACCAAAAAAAAAAAAAAAAACTATGGAACCTTTCTTCCAGCTTTTTGTTTTTCTGAAACTTAAAAATGAAAAGAATTTATTATCTTATGAAATTCATTTCCACAAACAAAAATATGATAATTTAATGAACACTTCCTATTTAAAAAGAAATAAATCATTTAGTAACATAAACTTAATTTCCTTTTTACAAAAATACAAATTTTTCAATAGAAAAATTTTGTTGTATAATAGCAGTACTGATAGTGCTAAATTTTTAAATAAAAGTTGCACAATTGAATAAATTATTTTCAAGAAATTTTAAAAACCTTTTAGATTAATTTTAAATTTTTGAATGTGTGTGCATATATATATATATATATATATATATATATATATATATATATATATATATATATATATATATATATATATATATATATATATATATATATATATATATATATATATATATACATATATATATATATATATATACATATATAAAATTTAAGTGACATCTTTAATAGTATGTGTAATTATAAGCATTAAAACATCATATACGGTATCATACTATTTATTTCTTTTCTCTATAAGTGTTTATTATTTTTTCTTTTATTACTTATAGAGAAAAGAAATAAATAGTATGATACCGTATATGATGCTTTTTAATGCTTATATATATATATATATATATATATATATATATATATATATATATATATATATATATATATATATATATATATATATATATATATATATATATATATATATACAAATATATATATAATAAGATTGAAACTTCTCATTTACAAAGTAAACACTTTACTATTACATTCCTACCACCACATACTTTTATATCAAATTTCATTATTGACTAAATAGTTGTGTACTATAGAATAGAATAGAAGTGCTAGAATAGAAGTGCTAGAATAGAATAGAATAGAAGTGCTAGAATAGAAGTGCTACTCATTTGCTATGTTAGCGGAGACTAGATTTAAATGTTTTAAGTACATTTTTGTCACTTTGACACCAATTGATTATTTTAATACAAATATATATGGATGGTGCGCAGACAGAGTGTCCAACAAAATTTAATTTTTTTATGATTGAATCTTGATCAGTGTTTAATGTCAAACACTAGGCTAAATGACAGAGAATCAAGATTTTATTGTATCAGTCTAAAACTAGCAAAAAAGTTTGATATAGCCTATCTATTCAGCCAAAAATTCTAATCTCTATTTTACAGCCATGTGAACTACACAATGTTTGATAAATATTATTATACAATGGTTGTCAAGTATCAAAGTTATAAAAAACAGTACCCTTAATAATTTACTCTAAGTAGGTTAGTCCAGTTGGCTTACACTATATCCATGTGTATATATACTTTAATGGTAATAAATGTCTTATTGCTTATTTTTAATAGATAATGGTAAAGCCATTTAGAAAATATATAATGGTTGCTTAAAAATGATTGCTTAAAAAAATCAACTTGATTTAAATTAATAGTTTAAAGAAAAACTTTTTGATGATTATGCAAAGGTTGTTATATATATATATATATATATATATATATATATATATATATATATATATATATATATATATATATATATATATATATATATATATATATATATATATATAAGATTTATTAAAAATTAAAAAGTATATTAATTTAAAGTAAATTAAATTTTTTTTTACATGGATCATTTAATGGAGGCATTTTTCCAAGATAAACACCATTATCGTAAAGTTTGACATTTTGTGCGACTGAAGCCACTGAACTTCCAAATACTTAAAAAAAAACTTTCTTTTGTATATTTTGATTTAAACAACATTGAATTTAAAAGTTAATGAATTAATCAAAATTATGAATTAATTAAAATGAATTAAGTTAATAAAAAAATGAACATAATTAACTTATAACATTTTAACATAAATACCTTTAGTTAGAGAATTTTGAATGCTTGCAACTACAGTGATTAGATTGTTCCAGTCTGTTGTCAAATAAAATCTATAAGTTATAGTTTGAAATATAACTTTTATTTAAGCAACTTGACCCAAAATATTTACATAGAAAATTCATTACAGAATAAAAATATAATCAAGATTATGGTTAGTGTCTGTAAATATAATTAGTGTCTGACTTTAATAATAAAAAATTTATATTTATGAAAAATACTTACAAAAAAACTTAAAACTGTCTACCCTAAACAAAATTTCAGCTCTCAGAGAGAGCTAAAATTTTATTTGATTGATTTTTAAAATGTTCTCAGAGAGGATTATATCTGCATAATTTGTTGCATAGCAACTGCCCTGTTTGAGTTTCTCTCTAATAATTTAAGTGATAATCATAAGAAATATACTAAATATAAAAAAAATACCACTAAATTATTTTATTCTATTTTTTACAAATATTAGTTGTCATGATAACAGGTTATGAATAAGTTTTTGGACTGGAGTTAATGTTAAATTATCTCTGCCAAGAAATGTACAAGGAGGTTTGTAATAGTCTCATTTTGAAGCCATGCTTAAATTGTAATAAAATTTTTTTTTTATTATAAGAACATTTTGTACAACAAGAAAATCATAAGATTGATTTGTACAACTTTTAGGAATATAATCCAGAATAAACTAAAAAAGGATTTGCTGACCATTTTATAGCTCTTGGGTCAAAATCAACTGTTGGGCACAAAATCAACTGTTGGGTACAAAATCAACTGTTGGAAACAAAATCAACTGTTTACAATTGAATTAATTCTATTGAAACTAAAAAAAATATCTCTGTTATAATTGCATTAAAAGTTAACATCTGAAATTTGAAAAAAGTTTCATTCTGTGTCATCAAAATCATGACTAAAGTTTCAAAGATTTTAAATAAAAAACATAAAAAAAGTAAAAGACCACTTCTAACTGAAAATCAGAGAAGCAAGTGAGGCCAAAGTGTTTAAAAATGTTAGAAGAATATAAAAATATAGATTTTGTTTTAGACAATGAATCGTTCTTCAATTTAACTCATTTGTTGCAGCCGAGCAACTCTTGTTTTTATTCAAGTGATATTATTCCCACATATAAAGTTTGATTTTAAAGCTAAACATGAAAAAACTAGTACTGCCAATAGAAGACTTTTCAGGAAACTAAAAAAAGTTTTTAAGAGGATTGGACAGCAAAGAATCATGATGAGTTGAAGTCTAAAATTGTCTACTGCCTTTGAAAAATGGATCTTGAGTTTGTACAAAACCATTTTTTGGGTATTAGAAAAAGACTTGACCATATAAAACGACATGGTGTCAAATTTTTTTTTCTTTAATTACTAAAACAAGATATTTTTAGTTATCATTTTTAAGTTTAGTGTTTTATAAAGTCTTTTATTCGAGTCCTAAAACTTCATAACCCGTTAGTCTTTAAAGCAGGGCTGTGGAGTCAGAGTTGCAGAGTTGCGATATTTAGTCTTTAAAGCAGGGCTGTGTAGTCGGAGTCACTAAACAAAATCGCAACTCTGACTCCAATAATAAAACTTTTCGGTATTGCACATGCATGTACAAAACATTCAATTAACCTTATGTTCATACTAAACCTCAAAAAAAATTTCATAAATTTGTTAAAAAAAAAAATTTAACTTATTGCGTAATGTTTTTTAAAGAATTCAAAGAGATTTTCAAAAATTTTGCTTTGGAGTTGGAGTTGGAGTCAGAAATATACTCAAAAAATTTCAACTATTGGAGTTAGAGTCGTTACTTTTTTTTACGACTCCACACCCCTGCTTTAAAGTAACATTTTATTTATTCTTACAAAACTCAAAAAAAATTTGCTAGAAATACTTTGTGAAAATTCAAATTTGAATTTATTCATTTAAAAAGACTAAAATAGTCGCATGCTTAGCTATTTGTTGAAAACTTTGAAAAATTTTGTATATTTTCTTATACTAATCTTATTTGTGCTTCTTTTTGTTCTTTATTATTCTTTTTTTCCAAACTCTTTTTGATCTTGTTTCTAATCAAATTTGACAAAACCTTAATCCATTTGCCAATAATGTTGTTATGGATAAAAAAAAAGGTCATTAAACTAAATTGTTTATCTCAAGTACCGCTGAACTTGCTGGACCTTAAAGCTCAAAATCATTGCCCTTGTCAATCTTTTATCCAGATTTTTTGAGTTTTTTTTCAAAACAACATATAACTAACTTACCTTGACTTATTGTCTCATTTTTGATCCAAACTTTGGCTCATTTTTTCCTTGTTCTCCATTAGATGATTCAGACCTATGATCTTTAATAAATTTATCTTATGCTTCCTCTAGATCCTTTTATCTCTTGCTACTACTATAAGGATGAAATGGGATTGAATGAATGTAATTTTAGAACTGTTTTTGCATTTAAATGGGTTTAGATTTGTGTCTTTAGTACCCCTGGTAAAAAGTGTGTCTCCTATGCAACCTGCTAAATTCAGGCTGACATTTTATTTACAACTTTTTGTCAGTTTCAAGCCAGGCCTTAATCGACCTAAATTTTACTCCTTTTACTGTAGCTTCTAAAAATGATCCTTTCTTTTTGACTAAAAGAAATCTCTTGGGAACAAACATTTTTTTATGGTTACAAAAAGTTAAAGCATAAGGTATTGTTTAAGTTAAAAACCATTATTTGCAAAACTTATATTTTATCTTAATAGCATGGTTTAGAGACTTAAATAGTCCTTGGGGCTGGGGGCACAAATTTTGGGGTTTTGGTAGTTCCCAGGCTCCATTCACTGAGATTTTCTCAATCACCAAATAAAACTTTGATACTACTGCTTCTATCATTGGAAAGCCAAGGAGTTATAACGAAAATTGCTTTTAAGCTAGGGTGGCCACTACTTCTCCTTGTCTGTAGATGCCATATTTTGGAAAGATATATAACCCTCTTTAATATGATATATCCAGGGAGTAAAACATCTGGTCTGGAGAACCAGCTCTTTAAACACCTGTCTAACTTTAAAATCTGTCAAAAATGATCTTGAAAAAGACACAATTTCATTAATGAGGATTCAAACTCAAACAGAAACTTGGATAAATAAACTGAACAGGCTGAACAGTTCTACAGAGATGTAATAGATAATAGGCTCCTGGTCTATTGCACGATGCAAGATGCATGGCAAAAAGCGTTGTATTACCTTAAAATGTATTTACTATTAGAAACCAATCCAAATTTATCAGAAGAAATTATAGATGATATTCATGATACTGCTATATTTGACGGCATCTTGTACACTCAGTGGTTTCTTAGAGCAGTACCGCCAACTGCTGCCCCATATCAGGTTAAAAACAATTATTAGAAATAGGAAAACAACATAAAAAATAATTAGTCAATTGTTTGATTAATGACTTAATCTAATATTGTTATAATATTGCATAGGATATGAAAGCTCTGTTGCAGATTCATGGATACAAATCTTGGGCCTACTTCATTATTAAAATCATTTGACAGACACACCTTAGTTGTGTTTTAGCAGATAAATGTTGCCAAAACAGAGAAGATAATGCCAAAGTATTGAAAAATACACTTCTCGCTAAACCAAACGCGTATCTCTACTTAAATGTGTTATGGTTGATAAAGAGTTTTTTCACTCTCTAGACATTGTACAAGATCAGCCTCCATCTTTTTGTTCTCTAGTAATTTAGCAATCTTGGATCATCTTTGATAAGATTGGACATGGAAAGGGTGATTTGCAGTGGTATAAGTTTCCTTCACAGTTCTGGAGGTTCAACACTTTTTATCTTGAGTTGGAATCTACTATTAATCCTATGATATGAACAATGACTTGTCTGAGAGGACCATTAATCAAGTTAAAAACTGACTGGAAAATCAAAAAAAAAAGAAAAAAGGGACAGGATTTTTTCTTGCTTAACTATGTTTACAAAAGAAGTAAACAAGGGGCAAAGAAAAAGGATTTAGCATCGAATGTAACAGAAAATATTTTAAAAAGTTGAGTGTTAATAATTTAAAGTCTAATATGACATTGATTTTATTTTTATTTCTTCCCTTCCTCCACCCGCAGCTTGAAAAAAAGGTATATTTATAGGGAAGGGCTAATCCACCTTCCTCCAGATTTATCTCTAAGTTTAACATCAAAAATAATGTAATATATTATAATAGCTTATTTATAATTCCATTTCAGGCATGATAACTTTCAATATATATATATGTATTATATGTATATATTTCAAAGGTCATATTAGGTCACAAAAGAAGCAAAATTTTATTAAAATTTCAATAATATTTTTTTTTATTATTAAAAGCACACACAAAAAAAAAAAATTAAGCAAACCATTAAAAATTATACTTAGTAATTTTTTCTTAAAAAATGATGGCAACATGAAGAAAGTTTTTGATAAGTAGGGTCTTCTTGAAAATTTCAGACTTGAGGTGGCCCCCTAAATCTAGTTACATTTAAAAAAGTTTAACAGAGTTGCTTTGTGGAACCAATGGAACGTTTTAAGAATAGGTACAATTCTATTTTCAAAAGTATAGTCCATTTAATGTACCCTAATACACACACACACATATATATGTATAATAATTATCCTGTTGTTTATTTAAGATGTGCATAAAAATCAATAACCTTTTAAAAAAAAAATAAAAAAAAAACACCTGGATATGGATTTCAGTTCATTCTTTTCTACTTCTTCTCCAATTCCAATTGTAAAAATAGAAACACCTGATAATGCTAATTGTTTTGCAGAGTTATTTACATCATCTTCTGATTTACCCATGGTAATAAGAAACAATATTTTTTTTCCAACACGAGGAAAAAGTTTATGAAAAGATGAAAGAGCACTGCCAATTCGTCGACCAGCTTCTCCTTTATAAAAGATGGTGGAGCATGCAGTTTGTAGTGCATAGTTATCAGTGTACTGTCTTATAAAAAATAAAAGTTTTTAATACATGTTGTTACAGTCCCCTCACAACCCTATTACTCCACAACTCAAAAGATTGACTGATGCATGATTCTATTATCATCAGATAATATGGCGGCAAGCATGACTTCATCAGATAATTTTAAGGATAATAAGGAGTATAGTAGAATTTAAACTTACAATTTATATACTTATAAAAGTCATTTTTTTACAATTTCTTAATTTTTCATTATATTAAAAATAATCTTATTTATTTTTTTATATAGAAAATATTTTATAAAACAAATTTTTTCTATTATATATACCAATATCAACTAATTATTATTATTATCTAGTATTTTATTTTTAGCCAAATAAACTCTATTTTGTACCTGAATATTCCAAGACTTAGATCAACTGTACCCCCATATGTCACTATAGCAGCAGTTGAATTTTCAGCAAATAATTTGAAAATGTTGTAAGTAAATTTTTGGAGGAGGTCAAAATGTATACTGCTTGTGCTATCTATCAGAAAACCAACTTCTGCAGGATTAACAGCTTTAAAAAACAACATAAAAATACCAAATTATTATTTCATATTCATTACCATTTTAATTAACTTTATTAGCACTGCTTGATTTTAAGGGTTTTAGGTTGAATTTCAAAATAATGAGGTTTTTCTTAAGATTCTTATAATATGTATATGTACGAGCTGGAATGTTTTAAAAATAAAATCCTAAGTGTTCCTTCTTAGTCTGAAATTGATATTTTCCAAAAACCAGAAAAAATTGTTTAAAAAAATATATTATTTTAATTATTTTAGCTATCTCTTATTATAAATATCATAGAAACCCATATGACCTATTGTCTTTGTCTTCAAAATGTGATTAATTTAATATATAATAATATCTTTAATAGTTTCACTAAAAAACCTCTTAAAGTTGTTGATGACTTGTTTAGAAATATTAACTGTTAAAATTTGTATAACTATAATAATTTTATAACTTTTTATAACATTTTATAACATTTTTATTTTATAAATATTTTTATTAATAAAAAATGTACATTTTAAAAATTTACCCATGTTAAATATTACATATCAAATGGCTCATCTTTCAAGGATAAAAAATCATAATGAACCCAGAGATTCAGTTTGTTTTTGTTGTAACAAAACCAACAATTACTCTCTTTGTAGTATGCCATCATTGGTGACACTAGTTCAAGATTATTTACACAAAGGATTCAGTTTTGATATAAATGCATTTCCCACTGGACATTATGTCACAGATGTAGTTGCCACTGGACATTATGTCACAGATGTAGTTGCCACTGAACATTATGTCACAGATGTAGTTGCCACTGGACATTATGTCACAGATGTAGTTGCCACTGGACATTATGTCACAGATGTAGTTGCCACTGGACATTATGTCACAGATGTAGTTGCCACTGGACATTATGTCACAGATGTAGTTGCCACTGGACATTATGTCACAGATGTAGTTGCCATGGACATTGTTGCCATTGCAAAAATGCTCTTTATGCCAAAAAGATTATTATATTATTTTTAAATATTATTGTAAATATTTTAAACCTTTTTAAAATATTTTACTAAAAGTACAAACAATCTTGTTCAAATCAAGGAATCAATCAATGAAAATGATTGAAGAGGCTTGGAAAAGTGGAAGAAAGTTACTTATAAAGATTGGAAGGGTTACTCCAACTGACAATCAATGCTGATATCAAATTTTTTGTATGGTATCAGAAAAGCGCAACCACAAGATTTTTAATTCAAAAGATTAAGTTATTGAGTCAAATTTCTGCATTGAAAGGTTAAACTCATTCTGCAAAAATTGTTTTTTTGCAGAATGAGTTTAACAAGAACATCTGCTGTTCAAAATGCTAAAAATCTTATTCTCTTCCATAGATAGAAAGATTTCAGAGCAAATAACCTCAACTGTTCTAAAGTTTCTAGTAAAGACTGAAAAATCATTACAATTATCCACCAGTAGATTTTTATTTATTGGTTTATTTATCTAGAATGACTTGCCACAATATTTTGTTCCCATTTTAGAAGGCTCACTGTTATCTGTAGTACTAAAACCTCAGATCCAAACATCTTGGTCTCTACTGATACTTGATATTAGGAAAAACCATGTAGCCTGAAAATGTTATTCGTGATACTCTTAGAGATTTACGAAAAAAACTTGGTCATCTAGATGTTTTAATATTTTATAATTTAATTTAATCAGAAAATTTATAATAATTGATTAACAGCATGGGATTTTAAAACTAGGTAAAAAAAAAAAAAAAATTCAATTGCTACAGTTTTGAAGCGTTCTCATCCTTTAAAAAGGTTTTATATTTTAACAAAATAATTGCTTTTTTAAATGGAAATGAAGATGAACTTCAAAAATCAGTTTTAAAAGATGTTGTATATTTTGATGTATCTTACAAGACTTGTTTAAGAAATATGTCATCTACATGAAGTAGACTCTTTGAAAACCATTGTTAGATTTAAGATTGATGGAGGATTGGGGTTCACTAACGGTTTAGTAACTAACTATTTTTATATTATGCAAATAAAAGAAATAAAATTAGAATTATTATTCAATTGTGGTTAGTTTTCAGGTAATAATAAAAAAGTTAGATGACCAAAGTAGAAATGAGAAAGACTCAGGATTGAACAAGGTGATAATTCTGGCTTTGGCACATAATTTTAAGGAGGACAACCATAGTCTTAGAATACTTATTAAATTAATTAACTTAAATCAGCTCAAATATTTTGTGGCTTCTGACCTAATACTTATAAACATACTTATTGGCATATCAGTTAGAAATTTTGCCTAATTTATATGATATATACATTAATTTATAATATAATATATATAATATATAATATAATATATATAATATATAATATAATATATATAATATAACATATATATATATATATATATATATATATATATATATATATATATATATATATATATATATATATATATATATATATATATATATATATATTAACCCTTGGAATTAGGAAAAATGAGGTCGGCAAAAATTTGCAAACCTCAATCTTTTTGAGGTCGGCATCAGGTTGACAAAAATTATTTGATACAAAGGTCTGACCATAAAACATAGAAACGAGGTCGGCAAATTTTTGCCAACCTCAAACACATTCAGGTCGGCAGTGTTTAGGATTTTATTTTCAACACATTCCTGTTCGTACATATACTTATTAATAGAATCTGAAGAAAAACCTCATGTCTTTTGAAATTCAACCTAAAAACCTTGCAAATTTGATAATGAACCATCTTAAATAACTCTATTTTCAAAATACATTTTATTTCCTGTTTTATTTAACTTCTTTCTACTTATCTGTAATTATGTTTTAATTTTTTTTGTAAAACATTGACACAATATTTTCAACAAATATTAAAAAAAAAATTTAGTAACCAAGTAATACTAACAACTGGATAATAGTTGCATTAAAAATAACTGTATTATTTATTTGATTTGTATTTATCATCACATCTATTTACACTCATATACATTACACTGTTGTTTTAACATGTATGATTATGTATGATATACAACATATGAACATGTATGATATACAACATATGAACATGTATGATATACAAATATATATATATATATATATACATATATATATATATATATATATATATATATATATATATATATATATATATATATATATATATATATATATATATATATATATACAAACAACTTAAAAGAACAGAGCAATAATAAATTTGTAGAAAATCACTTAACAAAAACTTCTTATTTAACACTGTGTTTCATCAATAAAAATTCATCAAAAATGAATTATCAAATTAATAAAACTTCAAATTATACTAAAAATTAAACTACAGAAAGTCATAAATGTCTTTTAAAAAAATGGCGTTAAAAATTATTTATTAAGAAGTTTTTTGCTTAAGTTTTGATAAACACTTTGTTTTGGAGCGTTTAAATAATATGAAACTTATTTTTTAAGAATTATTTAAGATATGTAAACACTCAGCACTTATAGATCACTTTAATTATTTTTTACTTCACCTAAAACCGCGGATCAAATATTTAATATATTAATTTCAAAGAATTGTACTGTTTGCGAACATTTTATCCCGGAGTTAATGAAACAAAAAAAAGGTATGATCCTTGGGTTACTCCACATATTATAAACCTAAACCAAGCAAAAAAATTTGCTTGGTATATCAACTATATATATATATATATATATATACATACAGCCTATATACTTATAAATATTCAAGTTTGGCAAACATGTCCGACAAAACCTAGAGAAATGCAATCGAATGCCATTCCTGACCATGCTTAAAATATTTTGTTTTTACAACTTGACCACGGCAGTTTGTTTTAACAACTTGAAGCGTTCCAAAAATGTGATGAAAACAAAAAGAAAATTTAAAAGCTTATCTAAAAGTTTAAAAACTTATCTTAATTTTTTTTTTAACATCTTTGTTTCCAACAAGGCTTCAAGCAACCACTAATTAGTGTTAAGTTACTGGAAGAGAAAAGATGAAGATTGTAGAGCAAGATAACGATTGACAGACGACATAAAAGATTGCAAATTATATGAATCAGGAAAGCTCGAAATTCATCTAGTTTTTTTTTAAATGGAATTTGATTCCTTCATCTTGAAGGAATCAAATTCCAAAGAATTGATGTTTGAGGAAAAAAACTAGATGAATAAGAGTTTTTGGAGCACTTAGGAACAATAACAGAAAAAGGATGAGACTTAATTGAATGACGAGTAACATGAGCATGAATTTCAGTAGATGGCACAAGAGACGCTAGCTCTTTAGAGCAGTGCCCATTATAGTATTTGTAGAAAAGAGAAAGAGAAGCAACATTACGATGATATGACAGAGGTTGAAGGTTGGCTGCATGAGCAGGTCCAACTATGTTTACAATGCGTTTTTGCACCTTGTCCAAAAGAGAAAGGGCATCATTAGAAGATCCACCCCAGATATGGCAACAGTATTCCATACAAGGCCGGATTTGAGATTTATAGAGATAGAGAATAGAATCCAGAGTAAGAAAGTGACAAGCTCGATAAAGAGAAGCGACTTTAGCAGATGCTAATTTTGCAACGGATTTGATATAAGGTTTCCAAGAAAGATCAGAAGTAAGAGTTAATCCTAGAAAATGAAGGGTAGGAGACTCATCGAGTACATTACCGTTCATAAATATAGGAAGGTCTAAATTATTGAGATAAAGCAATCTAAAAAAAGAAAACCATAAAGAAATTAAAAAAATCTAGGCTCAAAAGGTAAAATTTGAAAAAGAAAAAATATTTGTATTACATTTATCAAAAATTACTATACTATGTGAATTGCTTTGTAAATTATTATAAATTATAAATATATTAACATAATTTACATAAATTACAAAGTTTACTTATTACTACATAAATTATTAAGTTTACTCATTACTCACGGTGGTTTAATTTTAAGCATTAGTGGACATTTATTATGCGCATGCATTACTATAAAAACAACAACATTGTAAATTTGATTTTTTTTTTTTGTAATGGTCTTTTACCATAACCTAAATAAAAAGCTCGTATGATTGCTTTAAAGATGTATATACCAGATATCAATTAATAAACAAATAAAAGTGTAGTCAGGAAAAACACATTTCAATTTAAACTTTTGATTTTTATATGATAAAATTTTTTTATGTCTGAATTATTTTATGGTTATCCATACTACTAAAACAGAATAATTAAACGTTAATTACAATTTTTATGCTTTAAAGCTATATATATATTTAAAAAAAAGGTAAATTTGAAAAAAAACTTTATAATAAAAAAATCAATTACTTATTTAAGCTTAAAAACATAGTACATCAAATCTATTTTAGCAATAAAAAAAACACGTAAAAATGACTGAGTCTTATGTGTAAAACTAAAAACATTAGACAAAATGTGTGGAGAAATTCTAGATAATGATAGTGTTTTTTTAACAAAACATATTGTTAGGATAAATTTTTTTTATCCAAATCAATAAGGACCTCCCAAACCAATGCACCGTCAAAAAATGTGTTACAGATGCTTTTCAATGTTAAGAAATATTGAGAAAGGTTCAAACACTGAACTAAAATTAAGATCTTGGACTAAAAATTGCATTCTGATTGAATATGTTTGCTTTAAAGCCAATAGAGGAAGAAAAAAAGGTAAGACTATTTTTAAAAAAACATAAACTTTTAAAATACTAAAGCACAACAAAAATGCTATAAATTTTTAGGAAACTATAGTATGATTTTAAATAAATTTTAAAAAAACTTTAAATTAAAAATCATTTTAGCTCTTATACTTCACATCAACACCAAGTTTTGAAATCTTTCAATGAAAATGAAATAGAATCTATTCTGAGCAAAACAAATATTTCAAAAACCAAAATATATGCTAAAGGAATAATCAGTTTAAAAGTAGTACTTATGTCAACGTGAAATATTATCTAGGTACACAAGACTGCAATTATTATATTTGAATCATGAAACAACAAATTCAACACTTTCAAATTGCGTTTTTATTCTAGCAACACCTTTAAGTTATATATTCACACTTTTGATGCAATCAGGTATTTGTCCAGATGATTGGAAATCTGCACACATAACACCTTTATATAAAAAAGATAGCAAACTAATTACAAGCAAATATTGTCCAATTTCATTGAGGTCAGTTATTAGTAAAGTTATGGAAAAAATTGTCAAAGACAGTATGGTCCAACACTTAGTACAAAATCACCTAATTTCAACTAATCAACATGGTTTTGTGCCAACAAATCATGCACAACTAATTTAATTAAAACAATAGACTTTATTACCTATTCATTACCTAAAAGGAATGCGGTTGATGTAGTATCATGGACTTTGCCCAAGCCTTCGATGTTGTTTCGCATAGATATTTAATTCACAAGTTGTTGAATTATGGAATTATTGGTCACACTTTAAAGTGATGTACCGCATCACTCCGAACCTCTTTCCATTCTGATGAAAATTCTGCCATTACCACTTTTTGTCGACAATTTTTGATGACATATCATTAATATATATTAAAAATTTTATTATTAATATATATTAAAAATTTTATTTTTAATATATAATAATGATATGCCAGAACTATTAAAGAGTGTAAATAAATTGTATGCTGACGATACTAAACTATTAGCAAAAATAAATAATATCAACAATATAAGTGTATTATAAAATGACATAAATAAAATTGCAAAATGGTCCCAAACATGGCTTCTTTATTTGATTGAGTCAATAAGCAAATATGGAAAATAAATGGAAATATGTAGCAGAGAATGCCTTTTCTATAATGAAAATGGAACTAGCAATCGTCTTTTTAGGTGGAACTCCAAAGCACTGTGTTCATTTCACAGCATCTGGAGCTTTGCACAGGGCACCCTGGATTTAAGCAAAAAACAGACAGTGATCAGCAACATGCAATGTGTAAAGGTGGCTCAGACCATCCACCACCAAGACTTGACTTTAGATTTGCTGATGCTTCACAGCCACTGAGTGCATTTGTAACCTCCAACACCAGAAATTTCTTTGAGATCCTCTAGCTGAGTGATGTGCTTCTGAAGTTCTCACCAGAGCAGTGGAAAGAAAACAGTGACTACATGGCCTCAAAACAAATCCTGTAGGCTCTAAGAAAGAGGAGTGAAACTCGTTCAGGATTACAATTAATTGCTGCTAACAAAAAATGAAGAACATAAACAGTAATTAGTTCTGGAACATCGTTACAAATTTTCTAGATTCCAAGAAAGGCACTTTGTTGTTTTGACTTTTGAAAGCCAAATAAGTTTGTAATGGCACTGAAAATCGACTGTTTTAAACATAAACTACAAAATAACTAAAGTTGATATAACTGTCAGTCTTACTTTTATTGTTATTTAGTTTGTTATTTAATGCATTGGTACAGTCGCAACTGTTGAATAGTAATAAATTATTTGCTGTTGATATTCATGTGAATTAGTTTAATGCAACAAAAAGTTTCTTTTTGCAATGCATCAGAAACTTTGAATGACTTATGCAACTTCTAAAAATGCATCATACCACTCCAAATTTTTAGCAAATTTTTTTTAGTTAATGGATAAAAATGGGAGATTCCAATGCACACTTTTTGAAAAAAATTGGACCATCTTAATATAAACATATCATTTTTTTTCCGCTTTGCCATCGCTTTCCCACATAAATCTTTTCACTCTTGCCCACATTCCTGCAAAAACTTTGGGGAATGCGATATGTATATATGTGTATTTAAACTATAAAACTCATAAAACATATACACATATAACAAGTATCTTATTTTTTTTAAATCTTATTAAAGCCCATCCCCCCTCCTCCTCATCCCTCCCCAAAGCCAAGAAAACTACTACAGTCAAGGAAGCTACTTTTTTGAGGTTACAGTACTCTCTTAAATCTTTAACTTTGATGAACAAGATCACTGCATAGAAAAACAAGTTAAGCAAGGTGCTTCCAGAGATGCGGTGGGGATGGAAATAATATTATATTAGTTAATGCTAATAACTAATAAATGGATAAGTATATTAACTTACAAATAAATAAACTTACATGAATAGGAGAAAGAAGTTTCTGCTGATTGCCATTGCCATGATCTCATAATATCTGTATTTGTACTTATTAAATGGCCTGATGGGCCGCATGCCTTTGATACAGTTCCAATAACTTAGGCACATAATTACACACAATTAGACACATAATGATGCTAATAAAATATTTTTTAATAACATGCATTCTTTTGGTAATAGATAAAAAATTACTTTCAGAAGCAGCAGTTGTCATAGAAATAACTAGATTTATCAAACCATCAAATGGACTAGAGAAGACAGTACTTGAAGTAAATGACATTGAAGACAATTCTGACATAGGTGTTCTACCATTTAAACTGCACGCAAAAGCTATAATACCATACATTCTAAATGCTTTTGAAGGAGCAATAACATCATCTGCTGATGGGCCAGCAGTAATAATATAGACAATACTTGGATTATCTGGAGGAGCATCACTTAGTGCATTTAACTTAAAGATAGAAAAGAAACTTTTTTAAATAAAAAGTATTTAATTTAAGGAAATTTATACACAAAAAAATATTTATAATAAATTTAAAAAATATATATTTAAAATAAAAGATCTAAATAAGTAAAATGCAAAAATCAAAACTGCATCTTTGTAAAACAAAAATTTATAAAGTTTTCTAAATATAAAAGATAAAACATTGAATTAGTTACCATTGCCCACATGGCTCCACCTGTATTTCGTTTACCAAAATAAAGTTTTGGAATTATCTTAGCAAACTTTTTTATATCATTACCACTTCTGTACTGTCGAAAAGAAGTTGTTTCATAGGTTGAAGTAGCATAAGATGCAACATTAAAGTGTGTGCCTGCTAGTGAGTAGCATTTCATAATATTGTAAACTAACCTTCGGATTGTATCAAAATATTCTTCTTCAATAGTTCCATCAACAAGAATGCCTACATTAGCTTGACTTATGTCTAAAATAAAATTTTTTAATAACTTTTAAGGCAAAAGTATTATTTTAAATGAAACAAAATACACTATAAAAATTGTATAAAAAATATTCATGTGTGTGTGTGTGTGTGTGTGTGTGTGTATATATATATATATATATATATATATATATATATATATATATATATATATATATATATACACAAAAATATATATATATATATATATATTAACACGCACACACATATATATACACACGCATATACTATATATAACATAATATATATATATATACATATATGTATATATATATATATATGCATATATATATATATATATATATATATATATATATATATATATATATATATATATATATATATATATATATATATATATATATATATATATATATATATATATATATATATATATATGGTTTATGCCTGGGTATAAGTTGAGAAATTTACACGAAATTTTCAAGACATAATAGTCATTTGGACTAATGATTGGGTAATAGAAAATACAAATTATTAAATAAATTATAATTTTAGAATATATATATATATATATATATATATATATATATATATATATATATATATATATATATATATATATATATATATATATATACTTGCGTATAAATATTAAAAAAAAAGAATTCGAAAAAAGAATAGAAACAGCTGCAGTTGTTCCAATGAAAATATGTGTGCAGTTTTAAAATCCCGTTTTAAAACAAACTTAAAAAAAAAAATTTAACAATAAAATACATGTGAATATATGTGGTAAATTATAAATGCATAATATTAAAAAACATTTATATTAAACTTTTTATATATAAACAAATATATAAAAAAAAAATTCTGACTAATATCTTCATAAACTGCATAAATATTTCAAAAACATTCACTCATATTGTATATTAAAAACATACACCCATAATGTATAGTAAAAACATACACCCATATTGTATATTATTTGAAATAGATCTCCAGTTCCACAATGTTTGTAGCCTTCTAAAACCTTCATTCAAGTTTTCAATTTCTTTTACTTGGCTTCTTCCAATAACTAAGAAAAGTAAATAAAGTTTTGTTTTTAAATATCTTTCATTTTGCTTTTGAATTAAACACCTTATAAGACCTGTATTATTATTTTTACAAATAACGTTATGGATGACAAAAAGGATGATATGCATTATAATTCATAATAAATTTTTATTCATAATAAATAGCTTAAACCTTAACATAAAAAAAAGCTGATATTATGCTTTAGTGCATTTTCTATTTTTCTACACTATTCTTCATTGTTTCCACATTTATTTTTTATGATTACCTCATTGTAGTCTACCATCATACTTTTTCTTCTTTGCCTTTACCATGATCATAATAAACTTTATTATTTTTAATTAACTTTTATACAAACATATAAATACATACATTCAACTAGAGATAATTTCACTGCACTTAACATAGTGACCAGATTATTAGGAGAACCAACATACTGCTCTTTTTCTGAATATGCTACTTCATTAATTTCTTGATAGGTTGATGCTTTACCAGAAGCAATTGCCATGGTGTATACCCTGACTCCTGAAATAATAAGTTTAAACTTATTTAGTTTATTTATCAGTGAACTTTATGAATAATTTAATGAAAATAAGATCAACTAAATTTGTCTGAACCAATTAAGTTTATCTGAGCCAATTTATACTAATTATTAACAAGCCAATCAATATAATTAAGATGTTTAACTCAGTTAAGTTAACAAATTAATAATATAAAGATATATTCATAACTCTTAACAAATTCTTTCTTTGAATGTGAATATCAATATGGTTAAATGTGTATATTTGACATGCCCGCTAAGCTTTTTTGTATAGTTACTTCAAAATTTTTTGTTGAAGGTTTGTAATTTTCTTGTGTACCAATTTATTATATATACACCATATCAACTTTATTTGAAAACCCATCATTTAATTATTACACTTCAACCATATTCAATTATTAATTATTACACTTCAACCATGAAGTGTAATAATTAATAATTGAAAACCATTGCAAACTTATTTTGAAAAGTTTACATTCTTTAAGACAACTCAATTTTTTAATTAGGTGATTGCTACAATAAAAGTAAACAATAATAAATATAATTAAAACAACTTATAAATAGTTAAGCAATAACTAAAAGCAAAATAATGAAATAATTAAGCACACTAGTGTTTATTATAAAAGTAAACAATTATATTTTAAATTCCTTTTCCAAAACAAAACTATTTACAATTATAAACAATTTTTTGTTGCTTTTGTGTAATGCATTATTCCTTTTAATAGAAATATTATTTATTTTCTTTATTACATTTTTTAGGTAGCAAGCCAATTAACAATACTTAAAATGCATTTTTTGCACACTGTACGAAAAAAATCAATATTGAAAAAAAAAAAAAAAAAAAACTCCCAATAGAAAATATGGTAACAGTAAAAAAGTTTAAAAGTAAGATAACAACAAGCAACTAAATGCTGGACCTCGATGCTTTAAAGGATCCTTGATGCAAGTTTGCTTCTGTAACACAAAGATTGCTTACAGGTGACCCACAACTACAAGCATACTTAACATACAAATTTAATAAAAGTCGCAGTGTAATAATTAATATATTAAAACTTTGATATATGTATTTATACCATATATACTGTCATATATATTATACAATATTTATGATATAATTATATAATATATATTATATAATAAATAAAATTTTGATATATGTAAAATATAATATATGTAATTATATCATATATTAGTAAATTTTAATTTATGTAAGTATATCATAATTTGTAAATATATCATATATATTGATATATGTAAATTAATTTTATATAAATGTAATTTTATATTTCTATAAAATCTTATTTTGTATAATACAAAATTATATTTATATAAAATTTTATTTGTGTTTGGAAATTATATTTCCAAACACAAATAAAAATTTTTACTAATTCCTTGCTCAAATAACATTTTCCTACTTGTAACCTTGTAGTGAAAATACTAACCTTCCCTAGTAGCAAACAATGTTGGTACAATATTGTTTATAAAGTTAACATACAGTAAAAATATTGCATCAATATTCTTTGCTACTTTGGTTTTTTTAAATATCAATGAAATATTTCTTAATAAAAGAAAAGTTTGCAAAAAATTATCGCAGTTTTGATGCCAGGTTAAAATAAAATATTTAGTGTAAAGTAAATATTAATAGAATTAAAAAAAAATACAACACATTATTAAAATTAATTTACAACAATACAAAATTACCTGCCGCTCTGATTTGTCCTCCAATTACATTTAACTGTTTGTGTTTTTCTGAAGATCCAGTAACGATAAGAACCAATACACAAGGATTATTATTGTTTTTTTTTTGTGTTAAAAACAATGAATAGATATTTTCTAATGCATCAGCAGTTTCTCGAAAATGCCCTTGTATAAGGGGAATAGACTCACAACTTTTCTATATAAGAAAAAATTTTAAAAAACTTTACAAATATTCTAAAAAGTATCATTTAAGTGATTGTATTTTTTATCCAATTCAAATGATTGATCTAATGTAACTGTTTATTATACTTTCATTCAAAATATAGAAAAATATTGAACCTGAACATCCTGGGGAGTAGTAAACATTTTCCATTTTGTAATAACATATGAACTCTTTCCATAGACTGCGATTGTAACAAAAGTTCCCTGAAGTTGGAATAACCTGATATAGTTAAAAACTAGTCGTTGAATAAAAATTATATAGCGACTGTTAGTCCCATCTACAACAAAGGCTAAGTTTGTTGGTCCAATTCCTGAAACATATAAAAATTCCTGAAATGATTCCTCAATGATATAAAAAATTCCGAATGATATAAAAAATTCTGAGAGATATAAAAAATATTGAATGATATAAAAAATTTCTGAATGATATAAGAACAAAAATTTGTAGTAACAAAAACTGAGAAATCAAAACAAAACAAAAGTTCAAAAAGATTTAATACTTAATAGATTATTTGTAATGAAAGAATCTTACTGAACTGAACATTATAACATGTTACTGAACATTTCTGATCAAATTGTTTCTTGAAAAATGAACGCCATTTTTATGGCATATATATATATATATATATATATATATATATATATATATATATATATATATATATATATATATATATATATATATATATATACACATATACAATATAGATGTTGTGATAAAATTACAATATATATATTTATATTACATAAATATATATATATATATATATATATATATATATATATATATATATATATATATATATATATATATATATGTATATATATATATATATATATATATATATATATATATATATATATATATATATATATGTATATATATATTATATATATATATACAAATTATGTTTTAAAATATTTCAAATTATGTTTTAAAATAAATAAAAAATTAATTAAAAATTAAGTAACCTTCATAGTTCAGATTTTTCATATATTTATTCCAGTTCCATTCTTTGTACCACCAATCTGTAAATAAAGTATTCAACAGCATTGATAACAATTACTTTATAATATCAGTAATTAGATATTTACAGGAAACTTTCAACTATTATTTAAATTTACAATAAATTAAATTTCTGATTATACAATGATGTTACAATGAATCAATATTACTATTATTATAACCAGATATAATTAATTAATATAAGATATAAAATTATTTTAAAAAGAAATAAATCAAATGAAATTACAATTAAGTTATTTTAATTAAGCATCAAATAAACCCCTCAGATAAACCCATCAGATAAACATTTAATTTATATATAATATAATATATATATATATATATATATATATATATATATATAATATATATATATATATATATATATATATATATATATATATATATATATATATATATATATATATATATATATATATATATATATATATATATATATATATATATATATATACATATATAAATAAACAAAGAAACTACAACTTTTTATGGTACTTATAGTTTCATTGTAATTCATTGTTTTTGTAAATAGATGATTAAAAATAAGAAACTTAGGTCCTGTAAAACTAGACCTATGAAGTTTCAATAAAACAGGAAATAATTAAATACTTATATAAATCATCTTAAACTGAATTTAATTATAAACATTTCAAGTAATTATTAAAATATTTTGAATGTCAATTAAAAAAATTAGCATGTTTAAAAGAAAAATTTTAAAATGGAAAAATTTAAATATATTAAATATATTAGCATATATTAAAACCTGTGTTCTACTTGAAGTTCAGCATAAGCCATAACCAATGATTTAATTTAGTTTATGATGACCAAGCATCAAAATATAGTCCAGTTACCAAGTGGACTACTCTATTTAAAAATTGGTAGAGAGAGTCTTGAAGATGATCTTTGCTAGGGCACTATCAAACTATGTATACAGCTAAGAATATTGAACTTGTGCGAGTTATTATTGAAGAAAATCCTCATGAAAAAAGATATAATTGAAGCCCTGATATCAACTAATTGTTTTACAATCAACAAAATCATTCGCAATGCTTTTAAAAAAAAAACTTAACATAATGTTGGATACCCCATGAGTTACCTGATCGAAATTGCAAGAATAGATTTAAGGCATGTAAGGAAAATTTAACCCTTTTTAGAAACAGCTTATGGAGATTATATGATATTATTATGAATGAGTTGTGGTTTTATTTGAGACAAGTTGGACACAAGTCGGCTAAAGCTAGTTGAGTCGCTGAAGATAAAAGTCCAAAAACTATTTTAGGATGCAACAGATTTGAGCCAAAAAACATGTTCTACATCTTGAAAACAACAGGTGTTGTTAATTTGGGCTATGTTGATAAGGGAGATACCATTACTAGTCAATATTAAATAAGAAATTGTTTGAAATCTCTTATATGTGAAATAAACAAACAACAGGCACTCAAAATCTAGATGACGATACTGATGTCAAAAGTAAAAAAAAAAAAAATAACAATACTCCTTCAAAGTATACCTGAAGAATAGTATAAAAAAATGTTTGACAAATGGTTTGAAAAGATGCGAACTTGTATATATGCAAATTAAAAATGATCTAAGAAATTAAATAATGGAAATTACTTTAAACATTTAATTAAATAAATATTTTTTTTTAATATGGGAGTTCAACAAACTTTCCTAACACCCTAAGTAATACATAATAATTAAATAAAAACAACAATAATTAAAAAAAATATATATACATAAAACCCTTGGAATAGGGTCTGCATTCGGCAATACCTACCAAATTGTTGACCTTAAAGTGCTTGAGGTCAGCAAAAATTTGCAAACCTTGTTTTTATGTTTTATGGTTATATTTTTGTTTTTGTTTTGTTAAACTTTTTATGCTGACCTGATGCAAACTTCTAACACATTAAAGACGACAATAAATTGCCAACATCATTTTTTGTAATTCCGAGGGCTGTATGTAGTCTATATTCATATACAGATATATATATATATATATATATATATATATATATATATATATATATATATATATATGTATATATTTATATATATATATATACATATATATATATATATACATATATATATATATATATATATATATATATATATATATATATATATATATATGTATATATACATATATATATATATGTATATATTATCAGGCTTGGACAGAAAGGCGTGCAAATTCAAGCCTATCTATGACCACACAAATAATATTTTATTTTGACAAATTGTCTGCAGTTTTTACAAATATGCAGAAAATAATAGTTTTTAATTATGTTGTAAGTAAAAACGATGTGTTTACTAACATTTTTATATTAACAAAACGCTTTTAAATAAAGTAACTAATGATTTTAATTAAAGTATCAATGAAAGTTGTATAAATTTTTATTTATACTATTTAATTATATAAGATTTTTTTAATAATAAATGTAATTAAAAAAAAATAATCATAATTTAAATTTTATAAACAACAACTTTAAACAATAAATGTCTTTTTAATAAACTTTATATAAGAATTGTTAAAGTAAATACACTCGAAAAGAAAAAAAATTTTGTTGAGAGGAAGAAAAAGACAAATTTTTTTGAAAGCTATTTGAATTAAATAACTTTGATCTTTACCTATATTTTTATATTAAGTAAAGTAACAAATCACTGTTAAAAAAAAATACTATATCAACTTTTTAAATAAACGATATAATTATTTTTTCTTTTGTTTACATTACTACAAAGAATTGTTAAGATTTTTTTTTAAACTTTTAAATGCATGCATTTATCAAACAATCGTTAGATGTAAATTGTTACTTTATTTAAAAAGGGTTTCGCTTTATATTATATTATAAAAACATTAGTAAAGATAAACAATTAAAAGTTGGTTATTCCTAACGTAATATAAATAATCTTATCATTATAGTTTATTATATATTTTAGTTTTGAATTAATTTTTTTTATTTTAGCTTTAGTTAAGTTATTTTATTTTATTTTTCGTTACTTTTTTTTACAAAGATTTATTTGCTTCTTTTCGATAAGTTTTTTGTAAGTTTCTTCATAGTTAAGATGATTTTTTAGGTGCATTTTAAAAATGTATACAAATTTTCAAAACAAATTAACAGTCGTGGTCAAATTTAGTTTACTATTAAAAATTTTAACTTTCCTATGACAAGCAAAAAAATATCTTTGCAAAAAGTCCTCAATAAGTTTTCTAGGATTTCTTAATCATTAGTCCTATTTCATAGATCCTATTTCCAAAACATGCCTTTTGAGCCCACTGTGTTACATAACTCTGCAACATTAAAAGCACCTATTGTTACACTAAAAAATATGGTAATAAATTGCTGACCTTAAACTGTTACTATATGTTGGCATCAGGTCGGCAAAAAAGTTTAACACAAAGATTAAACCATAAAACATAGAAAAGCTATATTCTTAGCTGTGTATGTAGTTTAAGGGTTTCTTGAGTGTGGATCATCTTCGAGATTCTTTCTACAATCATTAAATGAAAAAGCCCACTTGGCAACTGGACTATATTTTGGTGCTCGTCATCATAAACTGAAACCAAATCATTGATTATGGCTTGTGCTGAATTTTCAAGTAGAGCATGGGTTTTAATATATGCTCAATATTCAAACTTTTTCAATTTTCAATTTTATTTTAAACATTTTTTTTTTTAATTATATATATATATATATATATATATATATATATATATATATATATATATATATATATATATATAATATATATATAATTATAATTTTATAGACTTATATTAATATAAGTTAATTATAAATTATATTATATTAATATAAGTTTAATTAAATAATTCTTTTCTTATCTTTTTTTTTCTTGATAAGTATTCGTAAGCTAGAAAAATGTGTACCTGATTGAAATAGTGATGAAGATAACTGCAGAGAAGACTTAGATGATGGATTAACTGATAATCCATTTCCTTGATTATCCTCAGAACTTAAAACTAAAAACAAATTAAAAATATAGTGAAGTGATTTAATAAATAAAACTTTAAAAACTAAAAAAAAATTAGTAATTTTGATGTCATTTAAGAAAAAAAAAGTTGTTCTTTTTTTTACTTTTTTATTTTCATATTTTATACTTAAAATTGTTTAAGAATCTTATGTAATCAATATATGTTGTCTATTCATTTGCAATTTCTACCTTTAAACTATTTTATGTTTTATCATTTCTTATTAATCTGACTGTCTGCATAAGCTTTAAGGAGTAAGCAGTTTTAAGCTTACAAGAAAGTAAAAGAAAAAAAACCTTTTCTCAATAAAAAGCAATTGTTTAAAAATAAAAGATAAAAAGTTACTAAATTTATATAGAAAAACTTTATACTGAACGGGTTCATCTTCAAAACAGCGCCTGCATATAATAACAATAATTTTACATGTGAACCTCCATGTAAAATTGCAAATGCAAACCAAGAATATTTAATAAATAAAAAATTGGAATCTTAAACACATTTATGATTTCCTGTGATTTGAACACATTTATGACTTTCTGTAACTTGTAGAATAAATTAAAGTATAATAATTTTAGCATTAAATTCTGTTGAGTCTTTATCGACAAAAGAATGTAAAAATAAAAAAATTAATGATTTTACACTAATTTATTTATTCAAATTATATAGCATTTTTTATTTTTACTTATTCAAAATTAATAAGTATTTTACTATAACTCTATTTGTTTTATCATCTATGTAATATGTCTTTACATGAGATGTATAGGTATAGAGATAGTTGAAACAAAATATACATTAACTGAAGGTTTGAGCAGTAATCCTTTATATCTATAATAATGTATAAACCTGCACAATGCTCATATATGCTGATAAACTTCATTTTTGAAATGCTGTCATAAAAACATCACAAATCTGAAGTTAAGTCAATAAAAATAAAGTCTAGTGTCAGATTAGGCATATGATCATCATGATCAACCTGCTACTAGTAACATGTATTCCAGTGAAAACTATTCCATGTCCTGCTGCCTTGTAAGATTTCCTTTTTAAGCAAAGGCTAGAAGAAATCCTCTTCTTGTAGTCAATACTATTTAATATCTGCAATGTCTAGAGTGGTATCTATTATTGTCTGTTGTTGAAAATGTCTTAGTTACTGTGATAGCTCATTCACAATTTACAATATATATATGTTCTGTCTAAACCTCTGACACAGTGCTCACTTACCTGTGGGTTGCCATTTGTATGTCTGTGTTCTGTGTGACCTCTGGCACAGTATTCATCCACCCATAACTTATTATATGTATGTTTGTGTTCTGCTTGAACATCTGGCGCTGTGTTTACTCACCTGAAGTTAATATATTTTATGGTGCTGTGTTTGCTTACCTTAAGTTAATACATTTCTGTGTTTGCTCACCTGAAGTTAGTATAATTTCTGTTCTTCTTAAATCTCTGGTCCAGTGTGAGCTCAGTTACCAACTAGTGACTCCAACTATAAGACTTATGATTGTGGTAGTATTCTGTTAGATGTAATGTTTTACATTACATCTAACAGAATACCAACCATACCCCAATACTACTTGGTACTAACTGTAACCAGGCTTGGACAAGAATGGTATGTGATCGAGTGCTATTGCTGATTGATGATTTTATTTTTTGACAGCTTAACCACCACTATTTAGATACTAGATGATTTTTAAACATTTTAGAAATGCACTGAAAAAAGAAACGCTAAACTAAGTTAAATTAGGAAGAAAATTCGAAAAAAAGAAAAAAAAGAAAAAGAAAACAATTCCTCTAAAAAAAAATATATATAAGCATGATTTATTACGCAAAGCGCTTTCACGAAATGAATAGACAAATTTTATTTAAATTATTAAAAAAGTGTTAAAAATTTAATATATATATATATATATATATATATATATATATATATATATATATATATATATATATATATATATATATATACATTAAATTGTATAAACATTTTTTTCCCTAAAACACAAAAAAAAAATTTTTTTTAAATACCATTACCTATTTAAAATAGTAATTTTTAATCATTTTGTGCTCTGATTAGTTAGTCAAGTTAATAAAAAAAAGCTTTAATTCTTTGTAAAAATAGAAAAAAAATAAAAATAAAGCAATTAAATCGATCAAGCGCTATTGCAATGGAAGATTTAATTTAACTAATTCATAATTCTAAGTACGTTAAAAATCTTTCATAAGATTTTCAGAAAGACACAGAAAAATAGTTTCAAACATTTAAATTTATCTTAAATAATTCATGCCAACATTAAAAAAAAAAATTTTCTATTGTTGACATTATGTCAACCATTACATAATAAAAAAATTTATGTCACATAAAATTTTTTTTTATGCGAAACGTAACAATTTTTTTTATAGCATTTAAATAGTTAAAACATTACAACTACCAAAATCAATTTGTAAAAAAAATATATATATAAGCGTAGTCAGTTATAGTGTGCGATCACACGCCATTTCTGTCCAAGCCTGTGTAACCCAATACTACCTGGTGACTTAATAAAAATACTCATTTTGTGGAGATGTTAACTGCATCCAGCTGTATTGTAAAAGGTCTTTTAGGCAACATTTTCAGGGGTAAGCAGAGTGACCAGGCTGGTTCTGCTGACGCACCCCTTCTTCATATATTGGGTTATCATAGATGTAAACCTGTTTTATAATGTTTTCTGTCTAGAATGATGAATGCTGGATCTTCTTGTCTCTACTCATAGATTTTTGCAAATTTTTTCCCCCCTTTAATGCTTTGGAACTTTTCTCTATACTCATGATTTGCTGACTCATCTTAAATATTTCTTAGAAGTCTTCTGACAACTTCTGTCATATATATATATATATATATATATATATATATATATATATATATATATATATATATATATATATATATATATATATATATATAGACATATATATATATATATATATATATATATATATATATATATATATAATATATATATTATATATATATACATATATATATATAATATATAATATATATATATTATATATATATATATATACATATATATATATATATATATATATATATATATATATATATATATATATATATATATATATACATATATATGTATATATATATATATATATAATATTTATATTATATATATATATATATATATATATATAAATATATATATTTAAATATATATATATAAATATACATATATATATATATATATATATATATATATATATATATATATATATATATATATATATATATATATATATATATATATATATATATATATATATATATATATATATATATATATATATATATGTATATATATATATATATAAATTAAAAAATTTAGTTCTGGTTTATTACTTAAAGTAATAGACTCAGTACAGAAAGGTTATACTCACATTTATAAATGCTTCTTTTGATAGCAAGAAAAACTGGTTCATATTTCATAAGACTGTCAACCATGTTTTGTTCAAGCAATTCATTTGAAAGATTTATTATAAAAATTTTGGACTCATTAGTTAAAAATTTAAGATTCGAAATTGATGACTGTGAGCCATATTTTATCACAAATATATTAATATCTAAATGAAATTAGAAAACTGATTTGTAAACTCAAAAATACGCATTTATGAATTAAAAAATAAAATGCCTATAGTCTTGGTAATGTAATATAGACAAATAAGGAAAGTGTATAATCCATACTTAGAATTAAGTCAAAACTAATCTACTCATAAATAGTTAGATGCAACCAATTATGTCACACACCTCTATATTTTGATTGAATTTCTATTTTTATTTCACTTTCACTTTTTCTTTTATTTAGAAAAAGAAACAAAATGTTTTTATTTCCATTATTCTGAACTTTCTCAAAACTTGAGTAATACTGTGTTAAAACATTGTTAATATTAATTTGTAAACTTTCAGCATATATTTGTGAACTTCCAGTATTTATTTGTGAACTCTCATTACTAGTTTGTGAACTTCCAGCATTTATTTGCAAATTTCCAGTACTTATTTGTGAACTTCCAGTATTGATTTGTGAACTTTCACTATTGGTTTGTGAATTTCCAATATTATTTTTTGAATTTGATGTATTTATTTGTGAAATTCCTGTATTTATTTGTGAACTTCCAGTATTGGTTTGTAAAGTATCAGAATTTATCTGAGAACTTCTGGTATTTACTTGGGAAGTGCCAGAATTAATTTGAAAACTTTTGTTTGTCTGCAAACCTTCAGCAGTCATCTGTAAATTATCATTATTGATTTTAAGCAGATATTCTTTAACTTCATCCATATTATTAAATGTTTGAAAACTACTTATCTAAAATAAAAATATGTATTTGTAGTGTGCAATAACGAAATAGTAATTGTAGCAACAGACAATTACAAGAGAATTATTTACCAGTAAAACTATTCTAGATAATCTGCAAAAAAATTTAATTGTAAATAATTAATTAATTAAAATTAAAACAATTAAAATTAATTAAAACCATCAAAAAGTTTGCTTATACACATGACTAAAATAAAAAAGTAACCGGATAACGGTAACCGTAAAAAAGTAACTCGATAATAATGAAACCGACTGAGAGAAATATAATTAAATTAAAAGCAGCTAGAAATAAACTAAGAGAAAAATAATTAAGTTTGTAAGTTTGTTTGTTTTAAGATTGCAATTCTCAAGATTAAACAACTTATATCATGAAAACTTATGACATGAGCAAAGTGAGGATTACATAAAGAAAAAATGCAAACTGATTGACAATATGAGATCTTTAAATGCTCTTGAGAAAAACACTTTACATCAAAGAAAGCAAGTTCGCCAAAGTCATACTTCAAACTTTACACATAAATGCTTAAAGAAATCTAAGTTGATGTAGCGAACAGATTCCACAATAAAAACTCTATAATTTAAATTCTATAATTTTTTAATAAGGTTTTTAATAGTTAATGTTTAGAATGAATAACATAGATGATAACATCTATAAGATGTTAACAGATTAGAATAATGTTTATTATACATTCATTATCCAATTAGTAGAAAGCCAATTACTATTAATAGTCAATTATATTAAAGCCAATTATAGGCAATTAACTATTAACAGCCAATTATATTAAAGCCAAATATAGCCAATTAACTGTTAAGAGCCAATTATATTAAAGCCAATTATAGCCAATTAACTATTAACAGCCAATTATATTAAAGCCAATTGTCTAAGAGCCAATTATAGCCAATTAACTATTATAGTTAAATAAAGCAGTTACAAGAACTTGTATTAAAAGTTTTCAGTATATGGAGCTGCAAGTGTTGTGTAACACAAAAAAAAATATATATCAAATTTTAAAACATAACAAATCCTGCTATTGTTTTAAAACATAACAAATATTGCAACTGTCTTTGAAGTAAAGACTTAGTAAAATCAATAGTTTATTTGAAAAAACTTAAAAACAATCCATAAAAAAGACTTCATGAAACTTTTATCAATGTTTGTAATTGACATAATTCTACATTTATTTGTTGTTATAACAACAACAACGGATTAATACAATAATTTGAAAAATGTGGCTTTGTGTCACGGCCAATATAAATGACTTTGCATTTGGTTAAGATATCTTTTAACTTCATCAGATCATTACTATTAAGCATCTGCAATTTATTGTGGAAACAAAGAGCTTTAACTAATTATATAAGCTGCAATGTTATCAATATATTTCTAGTGCTTAATACGTCCTTGTACCACTCTACATAATTTAACTTTCTATTTGTGACTTATTTGTAGTATACATATAATTGGCTGTTAATATTTCTAGTGCTTAATACGTCCTTGAACCACTCTACATAATTTAACTTTCTATTTGTGACTTATTTGTAGTATACATAACATGTTTAAATTTTAGATTTATTTGTATACATAACATGTTTAGAAACCACTTTGTAATTGATGATAACTTTGGATGATAACTGAGACTAAATGATCTCAAATTTGTATGTGAGAAAAATATGATTATCTATGTCAAAGGTTTTTCTATAGTCAAAACATATTTTTAGTGAGGTATTGGAGTCAATAGTAAATACACATATCATTGTTACTTGTATGCTATCATACAACTAAAAAATCTATTGTACTTCACCTACTACTTGTATGGTATCACACAAGTATTGTACCTCTTTCAGAGAAAAAACTGAATAGGATATTTCTGTTGCATACAACATAATATATTTTTCAAGGTTCCACTATTTTATATGTTATAAATGTAATTTGTAGGTAGATATGGGTTATTGGGTTGGTAGAAATGGATAGACCCACTCATGCATTACTTTTATGATAGCATCAGTTATAATTTTTTCAAAAAGAAAACTGAATAGGCTATTTAATGATAATTTTTCTTGTGTTTTGGTTTAACTACTTTACCACTGTGGACATAAAAGACCTCCAGGTTTAAAGTCTCAAACAAAACATTTTGAACATAAAAGTTTTTATCTAGTAAGCTTATTTAGAAAATTTTTTAAAATCTGTACAATGTATTAAAGATCAAAAACAGAGCAAAAGGTCTGTGCCTGAGTTGGTCTAAGACTCATTAAAGAACTTCGTCATTATTTAAAATATATATATTTTAGTTTTTGATTGCAGTAAATTTCTTACATAAATTAAATTTAACCTTTGTAATGGGAAATCAGACTTTAAAAAAAATAAATAAACATAAATGTTTGAAAAACTATGTAATTTTTAACATTGACAACAACCAACTAATAAATATCAATAACAGTACATCTTTGTATATACATTACATAGATATATATATATAATAGATATATATATAGAGTATATATACTAGATACTAGTATATATATATATATATAGTATATATATATATAGATATATATATATATATATATATATACTATATATATATATAGTATATATATATAATATTGCTCACTAGTTTTGCTTATCTTTATAACTTTTAGCTGAGTGCTCATCTAAACAAGCAATTTTAGTTTTGCTTTCGACCAATATTGCAATTATAATGATCTAGATCATTTTTCTTCTATCTTGCGTACTGATTAACTTTCTGATAGAGATGGATGATGATTGGAGGTTTATTTTTCTCTATTTTAGGCTGCATTCATTTTGGTCTAATTTTTGCATAATATACCTCCACATTGTTCAGCAAAGTTACATAATTCTTGGTTATGGTGTTCAACATATGACTGTATATGACACAGTAGAATGTAAACTCTACACATTGTATTAATTTTTTAAATCTAAATTTAATCCAACTTTCTTGTGCTCAAAGAAACAAATTCTCCATATTTGTTACTACTTCTTTGAAGCTTTTTTGCAACTTGCAAGAAAAATTAAAATTTTTTACATAATGAAAATCCTTTAAATACTTAATAATAGGTAAACAAATGAATCTAAAAGAATTATTTCAAGTATATCCAAGTATATCTAATATTTGGTTTGAACTTTTCTCATCCCATTTCTTTTTTTTCTCGTATATTTTCTGGCATGCCAACTGTGAATTTAAAATAATTTCCCTTTGTAGATTAAGTAAAATTAGATCAATTAACCAATATATATATATAATAGTATCTATAGATATATATAGTAGATAGTATATATATATTATATATATATAGATATATTATATATGATATCGATATATATATATATGATATATAGATATATATATACTATATATATAGATATATATATATATATAATATATATATAAACCAATGTTTCTGCAGCCATTTTGCTTTTTATGATGTCAGAAGCAACCTATATATATATATATAATTTGCACTTGAATATAACTTGTATAAAATACTAGAAATTCATATCCAATCAAAAAAGTTTTTTTCTTACCTGCTCAAAGTGAACCTAATACAAATGCAAACAAAATGATATTAAAACTGCTGGGTTTACAGTAATGATAATAACCAGGTACAAGATATGTATAGAAGAAAGTAAATGAAATTGATTTAGATTTAAGTAGGTTAGTTTAAAATTTTATCTTAGTTACCTTAGATTAAAATATTATTATTTTTATCTTAGTGTGAGACTAGCAGACTTAAAAGTTTTCCACTTAAACTTGTTCGAGGTTTTATGAATTCATTTTTTTGAATTTATCGTTTTTATAGCTCATAGATAAATAAAAGAAGGAATAATCAAAAAATAAGAACTTAAAAATTATGAAATATACCTCAACTGCTTTAGCTCCCTCATTTACCACATGGTGAGTCTACCTTTTTGACTATGTAAAGATTTCTTTTGTACAGGACAAACAACTGGTAGATAACATTTGTTGTTCATTGAATATCCTGGAAAGATAAACAATTGAATTTGCTCTCCTAATTTTTGTTCATGTTTTTTAATGATTTTGATCTTTTTGTCATACTTTTCCTAGCAACAAGTAGAGTTCATAGTTACTAATTTTAAACTACACAACTTTCTGCAATTTGAAAATTATTAAACTAACCTAAAATTCTTTTTTTATGATGGAGATGTTAGTTTTTTTATGATGGAGATGTTAGTTTAGCTTTTATAGGGAATAATCTTAACTAAAGTTTTACTTCACATTTATAAAATGTTTACTACTTTTAATTTGCTGTTAAGATTTATAAATAAAGTTATAACTTTGTTTTTTGATGAAAAATTTGATTTAAAAATAAAAACTATGTGATAAACTATATGAACTACCTAAAGAAAATATAACATATAACGGTTTCAAGTGAAAAAAACTTGATTTTTTTGAGATTCTTCAAAAAATTAAGAACCAATGATAGCAAGCCCTTTTTATTTCAGAAATTTTTATTATAAAACAATATGAATTAAAGTTTTAGACAAAAACGATTTGGTTTGAGGGCCAAGACATAGAAACTGGAAGTCTCTTGGTCCACATGGTGTACTTGCCAAATCTTGTTGGTAGTCGACTAATAGAAAAAGGCTGTTGTCTTTAGATGTATGATGGTTACAAGAAACCTATTGAATGGTAGAACAAATTGATTGACAAAAATGGTATACAGTACATGATTCTTCTAAATCGTGGTGAAGCTAACTTACCAAAGAAAAGAAAAACTGAAGAATTTAAATCAATAGGAGATGAAAGCAGACCAAGTATTTCTAGGGTTTTGGTAATACAACACCAAGTTCATTTGGTTAAGCAATGTTAATTTAAAATTGTTTATTTGGTACTATTTAAGTTATATTATGATTTAATTGCCGTAAGTATTTTTTGCATAGTAATAACACATCTGTTAATAAAGTCATCAACTATGCAAATCAATACCAGATGGTTGCTTAAACATTTGAAAACTTGATCTTCAGATGCACATTAAAGTTGTGAAATATATTGAGCTCTTTTGACAAGTTTTATTCCAATCAATGTATATGTATATATATATATATATAGTATATATATATATATATATATATATATATAGTATATATATATATATATATATATATATATATAATATATATACATACATATATATATATACATACATATAGTATATATATATATATATATATATATATATATATATATATATATATAGTATATATATATATATATATATATCTATATATATATATTACATATATATAGCAATATGGGTGAGTTTTGGCAATTAGTCAAGGTTTTCATATTTCTTAAGGAATTTGGTGCCAGGATTAAAAAATGACAAGTTAATAGCTAACTCTTTTTTTTCCTCAAATATCTTATTATATTTATATATCTTATTATTTTATTCTCAAATATCTTATATATTAATTATCTTAAAAACAGTTTCTATAAAAAGTTTACCCTAATTTTCTCTGGGTAAAGAGCTTTTTCCCCTGAGTTTAGCTTTTTAAACTTTCTGAGTTTTTTTCTATTTTTTTTTTTTTTTTACAATCTTTCAGGGTTATCCAAACTTAAACCCAAATATCCAAACCCAAAAATAAAAAAAAAATAAA